TTCCCACCTTTTTTGTATTGAAAGGCAAATCATCTTCTCATTGTCAGAAGGACTCAAAAGCAAGAAATTCATATAACTTCTCTGAAATTAATCCAAGGCAAATCCTCATCAAATCCTTCAGAATGGCTTGAAAGTAAAAGATTTATTATATGCTTTTAGGTTTGTCCATTTGATTTCTGTGTCAACACCTTTGAAGACCCGGATTAAACTAATACCTCTAATACCTGAAACAAAACATACAGATGTACAGATAATTATATAATATGGAATAATGATAATATAATATAGTCATAGATTGTCTTTTAAAATATTTGGAATACATATCTTTGAAAAAAAATTATATGCTTTTTATACATTCAAATAATAATAATGTCTGAATTTCTGGAATGTGGAGTTATAATTGTTTACACTATTGACATGCATACTATTGCCCTTTTTAACTATGCTGACTCTTGTGAGGCACGGTAGAGTAATGGATAATGGCTTGGATTGAGGAACTGGAGAGCCGAGTTCAAATTTCAGTTGAATCCATTGCATTCACTTACATGCTAATACCCTTGGGAAAGGTATGAATCCTCTTCTTCTTCTCTCCCCCCCCCAGCTATGGGTAAATAGCAGGACAGACCAGGTTCTATAGCCTTGGATGGCAACTGGTCTACTGCAGAAAGAAATGGCAACCTGCCGCGGGGAGGGAAAAAAATCTGCTTCGTCAGTCATGTATCAAAAGATACATGATTGGCTAAGCATATATCACGCATGGCATATAGCTAACTGACGCTTGTGATCCTACCTAGGATTGAACTGGCCATCCTTGGCTAACAAATTTCTGAAGTTATTAGACACTTGCTCCTCAGCATAATGGTTGTGTTCTAAGCAATAGTTGAAGCTTGTCTCCTTTCCTGCCAAAGTGGATTCAGCATCCTCTTAAATAATTTTAGATATTATCTAAGTTTATTGAAATTTCTCCTCAGGGTGAAAATTTCCTATTGTTTGCTCAATTTATTCTGTTTTAGCAGTCCTTATCTTCGTTGTGAAGCTGGGAGGCACAACAGCCAAAACATGATAACAACAACAAAGATAGGGACAATAGTGTGCATGTAAATAGTGTAAATAATAATGATATAGTGGAGTTGTTGAAAGTTGTTAAATGTGTACATGAAATAAGATTTGAACTAAAAGTATCTAAAAGAAACTTAAATGCTTTTGATACATCCTAATATAATAATGATATTAATAATAATATCTTGCATAATAGCACAGACCAAAAATGTAGGTTCTGAGGCCAATACATTGAAACTATTGATCACCTTATCTCAAGATACTTAATAAACAGACCCAATGAGTTCAAAAAACCTTCATGACAGAGTTATCTTGTATTGGAAGATCTGTCATCACGACTAGATAAAAAAAACAGCTGCAAACTGGTATGAACATCATTGGGAACAGATGTTAGCATCCTCTGGGATTTTTCTATCAAACAATACAAGCAAATTGCCCAGGACATTATTATCAAAGACAGAAAAGAAAAGTTTATACACTGATTGACAATGAGCGTACCAAGTTACAAAAACATCTCTGCAAAAGTTTTTGAAAACCTAAGAAAATACAAAGACCTGGAGATGGAAATGAAAAAAAAATAAAAGTGACACATAAAAACTACAGCTGTTCCAGTTGTGGGTTGGAGCTTTGGGTCTTATAAAGAAAGGAACACAAGAACAAATCAACAAAATCCCTGGTGCTCCATCTCTCTGGGAAATAAAAAAAAAACATAGTTCTAGCAAGCACAGCCCATATCCTGTGATGAGGTTTATCCATTTAAGCTTTTTTGTTAATAGCTGCCTTTTTGTTTAATTAAGGGCAAACAACAACAAAAAATGAAATTGCTTGCCCTCAGTCATCGGTTATGACCCAGCATGCGATTATAAATCAAATGCAGGTCAAAAATAATGTTTTTGAAATAATAATAATAACAAAAAAAAAAAATGAAAAATAGAAAAATACCAAGATTTCACTAGAGAGCTGAAGAAGCCATGGAACGTAGAACTAATTCTTGTAGTGATGGGTGCACTTGGAAGACTACAGAGAAAACTGAAAAAGTGAGAATTTAGGCAAAGATTGTAGAGCTCCAGAAAACTGCTATAATTTACTCTGCAAGAATTCTCTGAAAAGTTCTTGCATTTTGAGGTATCTTGTTGTCGTCACACCTCAAGAACAGAATTTCTATTGATTATGTCCAATGTGCAACACCAATATACAAATAATACAGGGGCGCCATTGGTAGTCTTTAGATATGTACATGAAATAAACTTTAGAATAAAGGTCTGAAAAAAAATACTTTTAATATACTATTGTGAGTGTAGATATTTTCTAATCTCAGTTTAGTCTAAGACAATAGTAGTACACTGAATTAGTATTGACCTAATTACACTTATAATAGTCTTTGAGATAATCTTATTAACTATTGATCTAGAGAAAAAAAGGTGGAGGTGAATGAAAAAACTAGTATGTTGACAATGTGGATATTAACCAAGCAGTTCCTGCAAAAATGGTGGAGGGCATAAGAAGTGACCTTCATAAGAGGAGAGTTACACAATAAAATTTTCCATCTCTCTCTCTCTCTCTCGCTCTCTCTCTCTCTCTCTCTCTCTCAGCCTGAGTCACCTAAAATATAGAAAAACTCTTATTCACTGAAGAAATATTAAACTCCCACAGCTTGATTTTCTTATTTTACTGATGCCTGGGCAAATTGCCCATTGCCACCTGGGGAAGAGAGAGAAACAAAATTACAAGATAGGTGCTGTTACTCGTCTGAGAAAGATGGATTTTTGTCTTGAATTAATCTCTAACGTTATAAGAGAGATTGGTGTAAGCATTGTTTTGGTAATACGTTAGGCCTGATAACTGTGTATGGTATTTCAACCACCCAACTCTCAGGATTCTTGTTACATTGCATTCAGTGACGGTTACTTGATCTACTAGAAGTATGTTACTGTCATGTCTAGTGTCATTTCTGTTTAATGTCACATCTTTAAACTGATCAATTCCTTCCTATAATGCTACTCTGGTTCACCATTTAAATTCTCTGGGAAGGACACCAGGTGTGACAAGTAATGAGAACAAGATAAACCTATGAATGAAATAATGTCTTCTGCTAACACATATTTACCTGGTATCAGTTTAAACTGACAACATCTTTTTTTTTCTAATGTACCTGGGCTATAATTATAAACTATAATTTTGAAAATTTGAAGTGAAAATTTCACCGAAATATGTTGGAAAATTTCCATGGTTTTATTTGAAGTCAAGAAGATATGAACTTTAAGCAAAATGGTCTCAATATATTGAAAAAGAGATGACAACTTATCCCATTATCTTCCTAACATTATTTTTTTTCCATTATTTTTGTCATATGTCTAAACTATAATTTTGGGAAGGGAGAGGTTTTGGATAATTTCCATATTTTTATTTGAAATTAATAAAAGACAGACTTTAAACAAAATGGTCACAATATATGGAAAAATAGAAAATGTCATCTTGACATCTGCTTATTTGGTTGGTTGATTTTGTTTAGCCACATATCAACCTCTATGGGTTATTTAATGCCAAAATTTAAATATTTTATATACAATTTTAGGCTTTCAACTACATATATTTTGTACATATTTTTGTACTTTGTTTTTTTACATTTATAGTTTGTAGATCACAAAATGTACTGTTAGTAATTTTTTAAAAAACAAATGTATTGCTAATTTCACTACAAAAATGTACTGCTGGTAATTTTTTTATAAAAATGTATTATTAGTCATTTTACTATAAAAGTGTATTGTTGGTCATTTCATTATATAAATGTACTGTTGATTTTTATTTGGGGGTTCACTATTTGCTCATAGCTGGGACCCTCACAGGTGCTACCACCCCATTCAAGGTGGACCTGGAAACAAGAGCAATTAAGAGATGGTTCCACACTTCTCAAAACCTCCAATTTCCCAATCAGAAGCCTTGCTGCCGGATGTAGTTTATCATTATACCCAGGATGGTGATGTCTGTTTAAACCGAGACCTTCTTTTTTTGAAAGTGAAAAGTTACACTGAAATATCTTGGAAAATTTCTACATTTTCATCTGAAATCAAGAAAATAGAAAATTTAAGCAGAATACTTGCAGTATTTTGGATGGGTGGGTTTATGGTGGGGGATAGGTGTCAGTTTAAACTCATACCAGGAGGATATGAATTTATCATTTACAAGTTTCTCGCACAAATCCCTGAAATAGACCAATGATTACAGTGGCTGAAATATTATGCAAAAATCAAAGATGAGAAAACGTGTCCGAATGAGGCTGTGTCTCAGAAAATTAAACCCCAAAAGTCTACCTGTCTATATTTATTCTCTTCCTGGGACCTGGAACAGAATAACAAAACAGTTTTAATATTCAAATTTAACATATTTTTTTTAACACTATTCTCTGAATTGTTTGACCCTATTTTTTTTTTGTTTTTCTCTTTGTATCTAATCATTCTCTGTGTATAAGGGACAGTAAGGCCTACTAACCACATTTCTTTCATTGTCTCTTCCATTTTTATTTATTCACAGTTCTATTGTTAAAAACAAGTGTAAGAGGTGAGCCAGTACAGAATGCAATTGATAACACCCACCCCCTCACCTGTCTCTCCCAGACAGAAAACTTTGCCCTGAATTGACCCATCAAAATAATAATACATAGAACTTTCTCACCTTCAGATGACTATGGTGATGAGGTCTGTCTAGAAAGACAAAGACATTTCTGTTGATTAAATCATTCATTGTTATTAATGTTTGTTTATATATATTTAGGGGGGAATAAAAGAAGAATCAACCAACAGATTTAGAAATTAAATTATATATATATATATATATATATATATATATATATATATATATATAATTCTCTTCACTTTTTTTTTTTTCTTCCCTTTCTTTGCCCCCTCTCTCTCCCTCTCCTCTTTTCCCTCCTCTTCCTTTCTATGTTTCCTTTCTCTCTCTCCTCTTCTTTATTTCTCTTTTCCTTCTCTCTCTCCTCTTTTCTTTCTCTCCCTCATTATTCTCTTTCCTTTCTATCTTCTTTTTCTTTATTTCTCCCCCTCTCTTTCTCTCTCACCTCTCTTTCTTTATCTCTCTCCAATTTCTCTCTCTCTCTCTCTATTAGTATGTACTCCTTTAGCATTACAGAATTTACAAATCAAAAATATATTGAATATTATGACCAGATACCTGCTCATCAGCCTATGCTCACACCTCTAATGTTTATACAAGCAATACAAGGTAAAGAACTACATTCTTCAGTAGAAATTCAGAAATCCCTCCACACACACAAAAAAAATTCTTTAAATGATACAACAAAACAAAACCTTTACTTATATTGTCTTGATACTTAACATTCTTTTTTAATTCCATGTAATTAAATTTTAACTTAATTTTTAATTCTAAATCTGAGAAAATAATATTATAATTTTAACTCTTCTGTTATTGCTGCTACTATTTTTATTATCTCACTGAGTTTTCATTGTTCCAAGTGCTCCATTAATGATAGGCATAACTGCCATGTTCATGTTCTGCAGCTTCTGTTCTCTGGTAAAGTTCAGATATTTTCCCAGTTTTTCATGATTAATTTCATTCGGTCATCTGCTAGAACAATGACATACAAGTTTTGCTTGATTTGATGACCCATTTGAAAATCAGTTACCAAAGAATTTTCTTTTCTTCTGGTTTGTGTATATATTGTTGGCTTATATGGTTAGATTCCTCTCAGTTGCATAGTTTCCAACAGATTGCTGTTCCCATCCATTCATACATACTTTTATATTTCTTCTGAGCCAGTTTTCTAGGGTTTTCATTTAATATATGGCTGATAGTTTAATCTTTGTCTCCACATAGCCAACATTTATTTATTTATTACAGTACTTCCTTGATTATCCGCACCTCAATTTTCAGGACTTTGATTATCCGAATGGGAAATGAAGAGAAAAACTGAAATCATCCAATTATTTTTTAGTTATCCAAATTAATTTTAATATTTCATCTCAGACAAACATTTTGAGGATTTAGAAAACCATACTCATTGTTTGATAAAAACACAAATGAAATCAGCAAAATTAATTCTTGTTAGTCTCCTCGTTGTTTTCATACATAGATTTGAATTATCACAGCTTGATGCAACTCTCAGGCCCTGGGTGTGAACACCCTAAGAGACTATGGTCTTGATGAATTTATAACCATACTGGAAAATGTTGAAGAGAAGGATGATGAGAATTATATTGCCCATGTTAAAGTTCAAATTTGTTTTTAATTGGCTTTTAAAAGAGCAAAGTGGGTCACTTCTAGTTACACTGATCTACAGATGATGTGAATAAACATTGAAATATCAGGCAACTACACATTCTTTGTTATTCAAATATTGATTGTTTATAAGTAGACATGAATATAATCCACACACATGCATATGCATCCCATCTTATTTCAGTACTAATTTAGTAAGAACAGACGCTAAGTTGAACTTATTTGACCATATTAATCGGAGGAGGCTTGTAGATCATGGCACTTTTAATAAGTCTTTGTTTGGGTGAATTATATTCATTTTTTTATTATTTTTTTTTTATCAAATTTACTCAAATTAAGATGCTTTGAAGTGTGCTGAAAAGTGGAAATGAGGACTTGGGACCCAAATGTGCAACATGCTAAGCATTATGCACTTCCTGGTTTTAATGTGTTGATCTTGCTGTCACTAGACAAAAATGGTATTCATATTCAAAAGTCTTGAAGTTTATGATATCTGTTGTAGCATACCTACAGACAATAATGGGTATGTCCCCATTCGCATAAATACAGTAGTAAATACTGTATGTTGGTCTGCAGTTAGAGATTCATTGTGGAATTCACTCACTTCTAGCAGTTGACTACTTTTTCTACATGGCGCCGATGAATCCTATATTTGTTGTTCTTGTCCTAAGTATTATCGTTCATCACCAACCTTCATGTGATTATTCTATTCAGTAACCTTCCCTAGGTTACAACACCATCATTCATATATATATATATATATATATATATATATATATATATATTGTATTTAGGCAGCAATCCTTCTTTCATGCACATTTCATTGAAAACAACAGACAAGATGCTTTTATTTGGATTTTTATATGAGAAATTGTATAAAAAACTAAATAAAAGAACCTTGTCTGCCGTTTTCAATGAAAATGTATATATATATATATATATATATATATATATATATATATATATATATATATATGGTGTAATGGATAATTTGTCTTCTAAATTATGCAAAAATGAAAATAACAGTGACATCTAAGATATATTTATAAAATTACACAAAAATATTTTGAAATACTAAAGAGTACATTTATTCAAGAAAATCACCATTAGCTTCAACCACGGCCTCCAGTTGACTTTGAAATCATCTGCAACTCTTCTGGGCAGTTTCCTTGTTTAATCCTTGCCTTCAATTCATCTTTGGTGTGACAAGGAGTTTTGTTGGTCTCTCGCTCAACTGCACCCCATACGTAATAATTGAAGGGGTTGCAGTCTGGGGAGTTAGGTGCCTAGATATAAGGGGTGATGTGGTGGCAGAAATTGTCTGACAACTATAATTGGGTTCTCCTACTTGTGTGACATGCTGCAGACTCCTGTTCTCATACATAGGGTCTTCCAGCAGCCACCCTCTTGACCTAGAGTAGCACTACTTCCTGAAGGCACTTGATGTAGATCTCCATATTGAGACTGAGGTCCTGGAGGAAAATGAGTAAAGACATAAGGTTGCCATCACTAATGATCACTCCAAACACCATGATGTTGATTGGATATATCATCTAACTCTTTCCAAGCCCTCTGCATTGCCCTCAGATTGACATGCAAACACTCTGAAAAGGTTTATATTGGAGTCTGGCACGAATGCCAAGCAGTACATCATGCCATTTCCAGAGTGAATTGTGTCATGGTGCTCTTTTTCTAACTGATCCTACTATGCTGTGCAGTTGACAAAATCCAAAACAAACACACGTGCACAAAATTAAAAATATAAAATGACGACAATTTACCAATCATATATATATATATATATATATATATATATGTAATTTGAATAAAAAGAGACAAGTGGAAAATACACATGTACACATATATTTGAATAAAAAGAGACAAGCGGAAAATATACATACACACACACACAAATAGTATGATTAAAAGCTAAAGCTTAAAATTTAAAATAAAGGCTCAATGCCAAAGTCAACACACCTTAAATATATTATAATATATTAATAATATATATTTATATATGAAATATTTCTCAGTATTTATAAATGTAAAAGACAATAGGAAAACTGTAATATTAGCTTACGCGTTTCAAGGCAAGAATGAAATGAATTTTAAAATTCATTTTGTTTTTGCCTTGAAAAAGTCCACGTTGGATGAAACGCATCAGCTAATATTATAGTTTTCCTATTGTCTTTTACATTTATAAATAATTATATATATAATAATAATATGCTTAAAAAATAATAAATAAAATAACAATAAAAAGTAATAATATAGTAATATCAAGATCGGCCACACTGTTTGATACATATAGCAAATTTTAACATTATTATTATTATTATTATTATTATTATTATTATTATATTTAAGCTGTACTGACTTTGGCATTGAGCCTTCAGTTTATTTTATATTTTAAGCTTTAGCTTCTATTCATGCTACTTGTGTGTGTATGTATATATATATATATATATATATATATATTACAAAGAGTTAATCATACCCTGAATCAATTAGCAATATTAATGCAAAAAAGGTACTAGCTGAATTAAAAAAATACACCATATCCATTTTATACATAAGGATCTCATCATTCAGTGGATTATTAGTAGTATAATGCTTATAATTATGTCTACTAGCAAAGGGATTTCGCCAATAATTGCATTAATATTGCTAATTGATTCAAGGTATGATTAACTCTTTGTAATATAAAATATATGCTGCCTATTTTATTATATATATATATATATGTGTGTGTGTGTGTGTGTGTGTGTGTATGATAAAAAATATTGTTTTAACAGCTGTATTTATAGCTAAAAGTGCTCAATATCAAGGATAGAGCATATGCAAATATAAAAGTGGACATTGTGGTCAACACTGAGTAGTAACAGTCTATTTCATGCTTAAATGCAATCATCACGCCATCTGTCATCAGACCTGAAGATTGCATTAAAGTTGAAACAGACTCAAGCCACTTGGTGTTAACCTCAGTGACCACTTATATATATAAGTGTTGTATATTACATTACTTTGTAATGGCACAAAGCAGGGAGAAGTGGATTCATCACTTTGAATGTTAGTATGGAAGTAAACCTAAACATCTTGTATATAATTTTGTTTTCTTAACTTCTATTAGTTTATCAGCCCTGAATTTTATGATTTTTTTTTTTTAATCTTGTCACCATCAAAATTGCAATCTAGTGAGGTTGGCAGATTGCGTTTTTCATTTACTAAGAAAAAAAATGGCCTCAATGTTGCCTCCAACTTCTATTAACAAAAAAAAAAAAAAAAAAACTCTCCAAATTATGAAGATGTAGATGATAAAGCAGCCTGGTATGACAAAGACTTTTTTAAGGTGTGGGTTTTTTGGCCTTGTAACTGTTATCATCCCCACCTAGACTGGAAGTAAATCCTCCTCTTGACTCAGTGGCTTGGGCCACTGGAGCAGAGGGTGTGAAGGGGCAAGGCTGTGTTGTGGTGGGTTGGTCCAGAAAGTGCCTGGCATGACATATTATGTCCATTTGAGGCTTCCATAATGTATGAATGAAGTAAGTGTTAGAGCTTCATTTATGACTCACTAAACATTCAGATGTCGGATTCTAGCTGGGGTGACTCAGGTCGAAACAGCAACAGGTACACACACACACACACACACACACACACACACTCCTAAATACATAATGTGTGCTTTGGACAGCTTTCCACTCCTTTCATATTTACATGTCAGTTGCATTTTCTCTCTCCCTTTTCCTATCTATCTTGTCATCCTTTAAGTAATTCTAAAATAAATAGCTCATCTCCTTTTTTTTTTTTTTTTTTTTTTTTTTTTTTTTACAATGATGTTCACCCTCGGGGCCCGAGAGCCACTCAATGTAAAGGGTTACAGAGTAAGAGGTATGCGGATATGTGGGGAAGATAACAGTTAACCCTAGATGTGGTTAACATTGTAATGATCAGGAAAACGTCCCCTTTGGAGTTGGTTCATGAGAAGAATCTGCTCAAGTGAAACTGTAGAAGTGAAGTATGGCAGGTTTTAAGTGTGAGGTTAGAACTGGTGGAATTAAGAATTGTAGTTTGTCTGAACACTTTCTGTGGAAATCGCGATAAATCAGCAAAAGTCTTGCAACGTTTCATCTGTGAGAAAGGGGTTGTAGAGTGGAAAATAATGTCACCCACAAGGACATGGAGATGCTTTTGGACTTTCGAGACCTGAATATCTTGCAACAGTACTCCATTTTTGACCTGACCATGCTATTGTAGAGGATAGCAAGAGGATTCAGCGACTTACTGGAGCGGTAAAAGAAACCGACCATTTTTCCAGCATCTTTAGCGATGGATCATATGTACAAGTTCCATTTGAAGTCTGGGTTGAGTTTGTCCCAAAAGGCTGAAGGCACGTGATTGATGATAGTTCTGGGTCTGATCAGTATAGTTCTTTTGTCATCTCAACCTGATAATGGCCAGAGATATGGATGAGGGCACCAAATCACAAACATTGAAACAATAATCACCCTCAATAAATAAAGCCTTACATTCTCTTCTACAAAAACAAAATAATAATTAATCAGAATTCATGTTCAGGATGAAAGAGAGAAAAGTTCCAAGTAGCTTCTGAAGACCAAGCACTGAAAGCAACTACGGAAGGCTGAAGAGCACATCAGCCAAAATTCTGTAGTAAAACAAATTTGAATACACTGGTCCAAATAGTGTTGGGTTCTGAGTATGACTATAAACTACATCCAACAGCAAGGCATTCTATTGGGAGATTAGAGGTTTTAAGAATCACCTCTTAACTGCTGTTGTTCCCAGGTTTACCCTAATCCAGGGTGGTAGTACCTGATAGGGTCCCAGCTATGAATCCAGAAAGAAATACAAAACAGTATGAAAGTATAAAAATAAATTCTATTTTTATATAAAAAAAAATACCAACAATAGATATCTATAGTAAAATTACCAACAATACAACTTTAAAGTAAAATGACCATCAAGACATTTATTTATATGTTAGAATTACCAGCAATACATTTATATGTTAGAATTACCAGCAATACATTTATATGTTAGAATTACCAGCAATACATTTTATAATAAAAATACCAACAATACACTTTATAGTAAAATTACCAACAACACATTTTATAATAGAATTGCCAACAATACATTTTATTTGTGGTTGAAGGCATACAATTTTGTTCAAAATATATTTAGTTGAAGCCATAAAATTGTTCAAAATATTTACATTTTGGCATTAAATAACACAAACAAAATCAACCAACCGAATAGTATTCAGAGTAAAGACCACTGTATACAACACATACATAAAGAAGGTCAAAGAAGCTATCAGCCAAAGCATCGTCATTATCAGTCCCATGACTGGGTGTGGTTGTTAGTTTACTGAACAGCTGAGCACCTAACCAGTTCTTTCTATATTACTAGGTTAAAAGCTGGAGAGGTATCTATTATTGCATATTCTGGACAAATAGATCTGACATAGCCCTTACACTTCCAGGCTGAACTACAGCCAATGTCCTTCTACATGAAGGCTCACCTTGGTCACAGACATGCAGCTATTATTTCCGTCGGGGCAAACCTCTACACTGGTTATTGACATCAGTCTAGGATATCCTCCACCCACCAATGGTGTGTTAGCATTGTCAGTATAGTGAGAATTTAGCATTGCTCATACATAGCTAGAGAGCTAAGTCTGCTACCTAGTGTTTGATAGCTATTGATCTTACAAGAAGGTCCATCCACTCTTTGGCAGGTCTTGTTTTTAATCCTAATGGGTGTCTAGTCACCCTCCTCACCAAAAATGACTGGTGGGAGAACTGGTTTAGTTGCTGATGACCCAACCATGTGGAAGGTAGTACTGGATTATATGGTACCAGCAGCACCCATAGAGAGACTTGACATAATCAGCCAAAGCATTTTGAGTAATTCTCAGTACTCTCAGTATTTATATTGTGCTCTGAAAATCAAGAAGGGATTTTCAGTGGTCAGGAATTAAGACTTACTAACAGAATACCACTAATATCTGGATGATTTTATCATTCAGTAATCTTCCTTAACAGAAAACAGCTTATGTTAATATTACTATTAGAAGTGAGAGCACAGATACTACACTTTGATCCCAGTCTAATGACCAGAAAGTGAAAAAAATCTTAACTATCACTGACTGCTGGTTCAATGAATCCTGAAAGTAAACTGATAATATTATCATTAGTAAAGAACTGTAGTGTGAAGAAGGTGGTATTCTTTGGCTTTCATTTTCTTCTCTACTTGGCAACCAAACAAATCAACTTGACCTGGATTGTTAGAAATCAACATTTGCATCAGAAAACCCCTGATTTGTGTTGCCTTAACATGTTTATCTCTCTATTTCCCAATAAATCTGAATTATTATCACAGACATTCTAGTCTAATGCTTGATAGACCCTGAAGGCAAAACCCAAGATTCCCAACAATGCAAATTCCCTTTTCCCCATTTTGCTCTTCGTTTTCTCTCTCTCTCTCTCTCTCTCTCTCTCTCTCTCTCTCTCTCTCTCTCCCCTTTTATATACTTTTTCTTTCTACATCTTTCATTATTTTTTCTCTTCCTCCATTTCTCTCCCTTTCTGTCTCTTCCTCCATTTCTTTCTCTTTCATTTTTCTTCCTCCATTTCTTTCTCTTTTCTTTTCTTTCTCCACTTCTCTCCTTTCCTTCTCTTTCTCCACTTCTCTCCTTTCCTTCTCTTTCTCCATTTCTCTCCTTTCCTTCTCTTTCTCCATTTTTCTCCTTTCCTTCTCTTTCTCCACTTCTCTCCTTCCCTTCTCTTTCTCCATTTCTCTCCTTCCCTTCTCTTTCTCCATTTCTCTCCTTCCCTTCTCTTTCTCCATTTCTCTCCTTCCCTTCTCTTTCTCCATTTCTCTCTTTTCCTTCTTTATTCCTGTCTTTCTTCATTTATTTTCCACTTTTTTCATCTTTTTTTTCTTTTCAATCTTTCTTCCTCTCACTCATTTTCTCAGAATCTTTATTATTTTGCCTTTACTCGCATGTTTCTATTATGTGTCATCACCAGATTTACATCTCTTACTTTCTCTCTTTTATTTTCATTTCACTCTTCACAAATTTTATATTTATAGCAAAAGAATAGTCTTGTTCATCTCATGCAATTCCCTTATGCTTTTATAGTATCAAATGTTCAAAATTAAAGTCATATATTTTAAGAAAAAATACCCTAGAAAAATTTGAAAAAAATAGAAGTTAATTGCAAATAAAAGTATCGTCCAGCCTTCAACAATTTCGACAAGCACCTGATGAAGGCCAGAAAGCACAGCAGCTGAAACGTTTTTATAACAACACTTATGAAGACAATAGTCCATATGTAAATAATGTAAATAATGATAACTCCTCATCCATAAAATTAAGACAGGAATATTGACTTATATAGATATCAGTACAAAGTATAGGAGGAGAAAAGATTTGAGAAATTTTATCCCTTTTTCAATTAATTTAAAAAAAATAAATAAATCAGTTATTCTTGGGATTGATTTAAATTGTTTCTGAAAAATTATTGAGCAAATTTTTATCTGTCTGGCTTCATCTGGAAATTACCACTCCTCTTTGTCTGTCAAATGCTTACGAAACAAGAAAAAAGCAAGAACCTGTAGATAATAGATTGATTCTGAAACTTATGTAGGACATGTTTGTTCATTGTCCATATATGTGTGTGTCTGTGTGTAAATATATATTTATATACATAAACACTATATATAAATATGTAGTGTTTATGTTTTCATGTACTTGCAAGAGACAGATGAGGTAACCCGTCTGTATTGTACAATTTGTCTGATGAATCATTTAATGAGTTCCACCAGCTTCCACTCCTCTTTTCTTTCCTTCATATTATTTCCATTCATTCTATCTGGGTCAGTTTTTCCCCCACCATCTTGTTTCTTTATTTTTCCTTCTTTTTACAAACCATCCACTCCTTTTTTTCCCCCTTTCTCCATCCTTGCTCTCATTTTCAATTTTATCCTCTACCTCTATCCTTACTCTCCTTCCTGCTTCTCTCTATCCTTGCTGTCCTTTTCATTTTTGTCCTCCAGTCTCTCATTGTTTTTGTTTCCTTTTTATTTACCCAGTCTCCATCCTTGCTCTCCTTTCCTTTTCTCTTCTGTCTCCAACCTTGCTCTCCCTTTCCGTTTTGTCCCTATCTTTATCCTTGCTCTCTTTTTCTTTTTTCTTCCCTGAGCCTCCGCCCTTGCTCACCTTTCCTTTTTCTCTCTTCTATTTCCATTTTTTTTATCCCAGTTTCTATTCTTGCTCTCCTGTTACCTTTTTTTCTGTCAATCATTGTTCATTTTTTTCTTTTTCTCCCTCCTTGCTCTCTCTTTTTCATTCTTTTTTCTTTACTATCTCCATTTTTGCTTTCTTTTTCTTTTCTCTCTCATTCCCTTTTTTCTTCCAGTATCTATCCTTACACTCCCTTTACCCTTTTTTTCTCCTTTTCTTTTTTCCCTCCTTGCTCTCTTTTTTCCTTCACTACTTTCATTCTTGCTCATCTTCTTTATACTCTATTTCTCTCTCTTTCTCTCCCTCCTTACCTTTACCTTTTCTATTTCCATCTTCTCTTTTTGTGTTGCATCACTCCTCAGCTTCTCTTAATATATTTTGTTCTTTTCCTCCTCGCTCATTTCATTCCCTTTTACTAAACTCCCTTTCCTTACCACTTAACCTTCATTCCTTATTTTATTCCCAACTTCCCCTAACCGCCCTCAATCCCATCCACCAACCCATGTATCCCATGATCCCTCTACACTTTGCCTATTAAATCCAACCAACACAGCCAATGCATATCCCCATCCCCAATCTTCTATTCTTCTGAATTCGCCTCACCACGCATGCACACACGCACTCGATCAATAATGTGACATTGAGGGAGAAGGCGGCTTCCCTTTGGCTTTGACAAGGGCAACGTGTTGCTGGGAGGAGTAGGGACCAGGGTAGAAGGAGAGGTGATGAGGGAAGAAAGGGGCTGGTGGGACAGGCGGACAAGACCCTTGGCAAAGCCAACTGCAGGTTGCATTTTCCTATTGCTTTCCACATTTCGCGACCTGCCCGCAACACCCCCAACATCCCACTCCTGCCTGTACTGTTCAGTTGTGGCGTCTATTTCCCTAGTATCCCCCCCCACACTCCTTTCCCATCTCCCGTCGCCCTCAGCAACGATCTCCGCTTATGTTGGCTCTAGCATAATTGAAGACTTGATGCCAAATGCTAAATAGTTAGACATGATATCCTGCATTTGCACAGGCCGGAATTACTAGAACCTGCTTTACTGAAACTCGTTCGCATCTTCAACCCCCTCCTCCGAGCCATGTTTTATTCTGTACTTTTTCAATATTTTCTTTCACATAGTTTTCCTTCTTCATAGCTTTGTCTCTTTCTCTAATTTAGAATTCTCTCTTCATTTAGAAGATTCACTCATTTTTATTTCTTTCTTTTAATTTTGTTGCCTTCTCTCTCTCTCTCTCTCTCTCTCTCTCTCTCTCTCTCTCTCTCTCTCTCTATTTGACTCCCTGTCTCTTTTTCTCTATTCTTATCTTTATCATTTCTCTCTTATCGTATTTTCTCTCTTTTTTCTCTCTTCCTCCTTTATCCACTTCTCTCTTCATGTATTTGACTCTTTCTCTCTCTAACCCTATCTTTATCCTTATTTTTTCTCTTCCCTCTTTTGCCTCTATTTGTCTCTCTATTTTCTTTATCTCTCTGTCCCTCTTTTTCTCTATGCCTCCATTTCTCTTTCTGCCTATTTCTCTCTTTTTCCTTTCTTTTTTGTTCACTTCTCTCTCAATATGTATTTGATTCTCTCTCTTTGTCTATCTAACCCTATCTTTATCCTTATTTTTTCTTTTTCTGCCCCTCTTTTTTCTCACTCTCCCTTTTCTCTTTTCACTTTCTTTCTTAGTCTTTTTCTCTTTCTCTCTCATTGTCCTTTTCATCCTTTCTATTTATGCTCCCCTCTTTGTTCCTATTTATCTGTTATTCTCTCTAGCTCTTCTTTCTTCCTCCACTCTCTCTACATTTTTTTTCTCTATTTCTTATTCCCATTTTCTGTTGCCTTAAGTTTTCAAAAATGGCATTCACTCTAGAAATGTAGGACAAATTACAAAATAGCTTTGGTTACCTTACAAAGCATTTTTTTTTTTTTTTGCAAAGTCGTCTGCCCTTTGCAAAACTAAGTCTTTAATGTGTACTTTAATGTGTACTTTTGTGAATTGACTTTACAGAAAAACTCGGGTCACTAAAGTTAATCCATTAGATAATTGTGAAGATTTGCTTTTATTAATTATTTACTTTGTCTAATGCAATGCTTTGAACTGTTCAAAGTATGACTTGATCAGAACCTGACAAATAAATGAAATTTCTTATCTTCACAAATTCTACAGGCTTCTTTTTTCTTTTATTTTCTTTTTTTAGTTAACTATTAACAAATAAAAATAATATCTGGCAAAGGCCCCAAAATAAATTAACATCATTTCCTGCTTGGAACAACAAATCTTTAATAACTTCTAAATGAGTCATTAACATGTCAACAATTATTGGGACTATTTAACAAATATTCTTTTATGGATTTATTTCAATTATTGTTTTCTTGTTTTTATAGACTAAATGTTTCAGCTACTTACAACCTGGACATCTTCAAGGGATTATTTGCCAGGGAATATTTGTATAAGTTAATTCTTGTGTTATTTTGTCACTAAGATGCCATTAGTGAGAGTGAAAATCTACCCACTCAGGTCCAACAGAGACAGGACAAAAATGACATACACATATAAAGAAGGCTGAAGAGTGGGGTGGCTGAAATGTAAAAAAAAATGTGATGTGTTGTATAAACTTTTCTTGCACTGAACAACAATGTTCGTATTTTTTTTTTTTAAATGGCAAGTCTGGTAGTTATATAGATAGATATAGAAAGTCAGATAGTTATATATATATATTAAAATCATTTATATATATATATATAATAGATTTAGATATAATACAAATAGTTATATATATATATATATATATATATATATATATATATATATATATATATATATATATGTGAAAAGTGTGTGTATATAAATATAAATAAATATATATATGTATAGTTATTTAATTTATAAATAAAATATATGTATAATTATTTATATATTATATAAAGCGTGAAACCAAAAAAAAATATATATATATATATATATATATATATAATACAAATAGTTATATATATATATATATATATATATATATATATATACACACACACACACACACACACATATATATATAATAAATTTAGATAAAATACAAAGTTATTTATATATATATATAATACATATTTAAATCATTAACCTCTATATTTGTTTTTTTGTATGAATGATTCATGAATATATAATAGATTTAGATATAATACAAATAGTTATTTATTTATATATATAAATGCAAAACAGTAATATATATATATAGTTATAGATAGATATGTCCAAGAAGTAATTAATAACAACTGCTATACTATTTTACCAATCTCATTCTCACACACACACATTTGAAAAAAATTCTGAATTTTTCCTTTCTTGAGAAAACAGGCCACTCCTGGCCTTATTTAGAATGGCAACTTTTTGACTGCTGCAATTACCTTGGGCAGGTGCAGTTGTATGCCGTTCACACTTTAGGATGGCTGAAACTATGAGAGGCTGGGTGGCACTGTAAAAGCACAACTGTTTAGAAATAGCACAGAAACAGTTTTGTTTTTGTTTTTTGTTGTTTTTTAGTTGGTGTTGTTGTCTCTTCGAAAGTAAGTTGTTAAATTAGATAAAACAGTGTTGCCCATCATAAAGAAAATCTCCATTAGGCATGTGCAAAAGTCTCCAGCATTATTTTATTTTATTAAAAAGAAAAAGGGAATTGCCTTTAATCCATCTATTCAGTCTCTACATTGAAAAAATAGTGTGTGCTTTTGCACACCTCTGTGTGTGTGTTTGTGTGTGTGTGTACATATATATGAGAACATGATATATAAATTTTTATATACCAGAACAATGTTAAAAAAATTAATGACAAAATGTAAAAAAGATTGTGTGATGTATTTCATCCTGATGAAGTCCTAAAAGACAAAATGTGTCAAATAAAAACTTTTTCCATTTTGCCATTAATTTTCCTATATGACTTTGGCAGTCATTATCAAGAACCATTGTGGTGTTTATATAGTAATTAGAATTTCTTTGTGTGTATCCTGGTATTCTTTGGCAAGCTGGCCATTTGAAGTGATCTAGCATTACATCATGTGTAATGGTTAGTAGGAATGTAGCCGCACAGAAAGAATGCGATTTATTTATTGATTAATTTAAGACAGAACACAATTGAAGGAAAAACACAAAACTGTAAAAACTATTATTTTACAAAATAGACACTCTAAATTACATAAAATATCATTCACCACAGGAGAAGCTATCTTGAAGTGAATATGCTATAATTTATATATATATATATATATATATATATAAAATGTGTATGTATATAAATATAAATATATATGCAATTTTGTATATATATTATTTATATATGCGCGGTACTTATTGGAAAGTGCTCAATATCAGTGATAGAGCAAACATATTTAGTTGGATTGGTGTGTGTTTGTGACCCTGGTCACAAACTCACACCAGTCCAACTATATATACGTGTGTGTGTGTGTGTGTGTGTACATGTATGTGTGTGTGTGATTATTTACTCAAAAATTATAATGTAAGTATGTTATAAAATCGATACAAAAATAGCCATTTTGTTTCAACACTTCTGGTGTCTTATCAAATGATGGTGTTGAATGTACAATAAGGGGTTTTTATGTTTGTGTGTGTGTGTATATATATGTGTGTGTGGACCAGATAAATCTACTAGAATAATACAAAATGAACAAATATTTATTTATGAATAAAATGCAATCATGACAGCCAGTTTCAAATTAATTTATCAAGAAATTTATTTATGAAGAAATGCAATCGTGACAGCGAGTTTCAAATTAAGAATCATAAAGAATAATATCATATTTTTTAAAAAATAATTCCCCAGTTGCTTTTACATATATAGATATTTTAAATTTCTATATGTATTATTAAATTCAACGGGTAAGGAATATTTTGTTAATTTTTCATGTAGTTTCTCTTGTTTTTGTACAAGAAACGAATGGTCAGTTCTTCTAAATGCAAAAATTGTTCATAGTTCTTAGTATCAGCTCTAGGGTTTTGACCATTATTTGGACATCTTCAAGAACAAAATATTGGTCTGATTTATCAAAGATATGATATGATGTTTTCAAATTGATGTCATATTGAGGTTTGTGTTAAAGAACATCATTTTCTTTTAATCCTTTCACCCCCAAGCAAGGTTATAAAGCCACTAAGACACATGGGTGTGAGTGAATATAAGAAAAAGAAAAACATTTTGATGTTACTATTTTAGTATCTCTATCATTCTCTTCTCTCATTCTCTGCTTTTGGGAGATTGACACAACACAATCTTCTTATCCATTTGTCCTTGTGCCTTACTAACCCAAGCTTAGTAAATATCAGTATTATTCATATTATCCACGAAAACAGTTGATAATATTGAAAACAATTGGAAACTGTCTAACTGACTTGACAAGTTGGATTTCAAATAAAAATATGTCAGTTGAATCACTAATGAGTGTGAAACATTTTCTGAAATAGTCTCCAGCTGGTACTTTGTCATAAATACTGTTCATAAACTATTTATGATAAAGTTTCGCAATGAAAGAGAAAAATATTGACAAGTCAATAATGTTGTTCTACTAACCTTATTTTAAAATATTTTTATAAACATTTGTTTTGCGATAACAAAAGATCACATCACAACTGTGTGGGCTTATGACCATATCATGTTGAAACACCAGTCCCCCCACCCCAACCCCCACTACAATCACTGAAGTTAAGTGTTATATTCCATGCTAATAGGAATATATTCTTGAAAAACACGGTGGATAAAATAAGTAAAGGTTTATTGTAAAAAACCAGTACAATAAGAATAAAGGTAACAATTATGCACAAAGTAGTCGCAAGTCAATCCAGTAGTGAGTACTACTATTGGAAGGTAAGTAGTTCTTGCTTAAGTCTGAGTCGTACTCAACAGATTCCAGCAAGACTCTGTAGTTCATTGACTTACAGAGACTTATAGGTAGTTACTACCTTTAGTGTAGTCACCCATGGGGTTACATTACATCATTAAGCAATGTTGAGCTGGTCAGTACCTAAATGGGTGACCACTTGGGAATACCAGATGCTATAAGCTTGGATGTGTGGGTTGTATGGCTTATGACGACATCACATTGAAACAGCACTTCTGTATGATCACCAGTGTTAAACAATGTTCGACTTGATCAATACTTAGATGCATGATCGCTTGGGTTTTGTAAATTTGGATGTGCAGGTGGTATGACTTATGGCCACATTAAGTTCCAATTCCGATTGGGTTTGTTATATTCACTTATGCACAAAAATTCTTGGGAATAATATGAATCCTCCCTCTTCTCTCCCCAGATATGGATTAATTAGTAAAACTTGTATCACTATCATTATTTTCTCCCTCCAAAAATTCTTATGATGTAAAAATATTTCCTGGCTTTAAATAACCTGCAAAAGGCCAGTAAGCTGTGGAAAATGAGTCAATCAATGAGAACTATGTATATGTGTGTGTGTGTTCTTTTGTTTTGTTTTTAATATTATTTCCATTTTTAAACTGTTTCTAAATTTGTAAAATTGGATTGAAGCAGCTTGTGGGTACATAATTCTGAACTATGTTTGACAATTTTTTTTCTCCACCAACTGTCAGAATTTGATAGGACTTTGTTTAATTTGTATAAAAATTTATAAATAGTGAATGAAGTTTTGACATGTTTATTTAAATAATGCTACTCATTATAAATAACTAGTGTGTATGATTGTCAATTGCCATTCTCTTTCTCTTACTCTCTCTCTATTTATCTATCTATCTGTGTGAGTGTGTGTGTTTGTGTGTGTGTGTGAGAGAGAGAGATAGACTTAACATACCAGCCATGACAGGTATGATAT